AGAGAGGAGGTTAATAAAGGACAAATCCAAAACTGTTATTAATATTTCCAAGTATTATAGATTTCTATTTATTCACAGCTACTTTCAAACATACATACATACATAATACATACATACATACATACATATATACATACATACATAATGCATGCATGCATGCATGCATGCATACATAGTCACTCTTCCTCAGAAAACAGAAGGTATGAAAGAAAATGGTCACAGATATATCTTTAATGCAGAATTTTTGGAAAGGGGTAAGAATGTCTAGGAGGAACACAGAAGCATGTTGTGGCAGAGAGAGTTATAGTACCTGGACTGATGGGATGGAGAAAAGCTAAAAGAATTCAGAATTGGTTGTAGTAGCTATGATATGGGTCACAGGAAAGGTGGTATTGCCTTACTTAGGCACTATTCTGGGACTTTATCCAGTGTGATGAATCAGCCTATATGAACTTGTACCAGGTGTTTAATCCCCCTTATCCAGCATCACTTCTGTGGAATGATCTTACTCATAGTATAACTGCCTTGAGAATCGATTGAAATGTGGAAAATGGGAATATGTAGGAATTTGTGTTTTAAAGCTTGTGGAGTTTGGTTCTATACATTCGGAATAGTGACTTCAACAGAAGGAAAGATTGTTAGAACTTGACACACATGGGAAGGTCTCTCATATTTCTGGTCCCACTTGACTCAGAAATGCATCAGCTGTCTAATTTGAAGGAAAAGGAATCTGTGCTACAGATACTGACACCAGGATCGAGGGAATATTTGTAAAAAAGTTTATTCACCTCCTGTTTATCAGTCATGTGCTATCATCTAGTATCAAGAGAGGCTGAGAATGGGAATAACTTTTTTTGAGTATGAACTCTAAGAATCACTATGTTGTATAGGAATACAAAAATTGATCAGAAACAGAGTATCTCCATTCTTCTGGTTGATAGTCACTTTTTTCATGTATGTGAAGGTTTTCTCTGGGACACCACACAAGTAACATTTCTCATGGCTGTGTAATGGGGAAAATTGAAAGAATTATCCAGGTGATTCTGGTTGTTGTTCAGCTGACTCTGGACCATGTGATTTCAACAATGTCTTTGTACTTAAGCATCAGGTTCTTTAATGCACATGTGCTGAAACCTTGGTTGCAGTCACAAACACCAGACAAGTCTAGACATATATAGGGCATTGTTTTAACAAAAGGGACATGAACAAGCCAGCTCATCAATAGACAAGCAAACTGTGTTCCCTGCAGGGAATGAAAAGACAAAGTTGGCCTAAGAGAGGAAAAGAGAGCTGTGGCTTTCCATCCAATCATTAACCAGCCATGGTGAAGGACTGCAGTGCATGTGACTGATGCTTTATCCTGACTCTCATCTCTAATGAGAATACAACTTTTTTCCATTCAGATTCTTCCAGCCCAGATGAGTATTCAGCTGTGTGGATGATTGACAGCTGTCTGCTCTGAAGCAAGAAAGAGATGGTGCTTTTAGCTGTCTATATTATTTGCCCTTATTTATTTTTCTCTTTTTGATAGTTTTCTCCTTGATTTCTGGATTTTGCTGAGAATAAAAAAAACAAATTTTGTTGTGGGACAATTCTTTATTCTGTCAATTATGTTTTAAATAAATGCTGATTGGCCAGTAGGTAGGCGGGAAGTATAGGTGAAACAACCAGACAGAAAATAGAGCTGGGGCAAGGAGAACAGGAGAATTCTGGGAGGAGGAAGCCCATTCCTCTACAGTCCTGTCCAGATACTGAAGAAGCAGGATGTGTCCTACCCCGCTGAAAAAGGTACTGAGCCATGTGGCTAATATAGATTAGAATATTGGGCTGATATAAGTTATAAGAACTGATACAAAGCCTAAGCTAATGGGCCAATCAGTTTATAACTTATGGATACCTCTGTGTGGTTTTCTTTGGGACTTTCCAGCTGTGGGAACTGGGCAGGATAGAAACCCCAACAAGCAGGCCCCCATGTTACAATGTTTGAGAGTTCATTTTTCCTCAGATTCCTCCCTCCTTGTCTTCACCCTTAAGTACTTCTTTCTCCTTAACCTTAGAATGAAAATATTAACAGCAATCACCTAAATGGACTCTGAAAAGCTTTCAGTTCTCTTCTACCATACCATAATGATTCATTATTCAAGCATTGTAGTGTAAATCCAGTCATGTACTTACACCTGAGGATATTTCAAATCCTTACTGTGAAACTACTAGTGTTTCATAGTTAAGTTGACATAATATGAAACAATCTTCAAATATTATTGTTTATATACCTAGACAAATATCTCCTCTCAAACATATGCAGAGAAGGTTTTCAGTGAGTGCACGGGTAATCAGAGACCTATGGCTATACAAGGTGTTAGCAATAAAGGATGGTACAGAGTTTGTCCCTAAACAAGGCATTTATACCATCACCCGTGATATTAGGGAATGGTCCCAAAGAGGGAGTTCAAGGAATATAAGAGCTGATGCTAGGGAAAATGCTGTAAAGTGCTATATTGTAAGCATGACATGGTTATGGCTATCATGAACACACAGCCGTTTTATCTACTGGCTCTGAGCCTAAACACACTGGGTCCTCTGAACAGTCAGCTTTCAAGAGAGAAGGGACTCATAGCTTGATGCCACTTGCTGTTGAAATATTGACAGATAGCAGTTTCTGGGAGTGGGGAAAGCATTGTATCAAGTTTTGTAGCTCCTTTGAGCCCACTAGACTGTGATGGCTCATTGCAAACTCACGGTTATATATTGAGCCTACTTTAACTCTGGGATACAAAATCAAACCAAAAGTCATGAATATAAAATAGATAATCATAAAGAAGTAGTGGGTCTGGAAAGAATGGGAGGGAAAGAAGAAAGGGAGAGTAACCAGAATGCAGTGCATATATATGGAAGTAAAAAAGAACTAATTTATTAACAAAATAACTGTGTGGAATTGACTCATATTTTCAACAACAATATAGCCTCTCCCTTCATCCTTTATTGTTTCCTTTTTCTGACGTATCTTCCTGCTTTTCATGCCATACTCCCAATAATGATTCTATATTCTATGAACACTTAATATAACTCTGACATGGAACTAAGTTCTCAATTGCACAATATACAAAAGGCCTCCTCTCCTCACAATGCCAAGCCCCTTAGATATTCATACTCAAGAAGTATGGTATCCGCACATACATCTGAGCAAAAGGAGACACCACCTTAATGTCTCCATCATGATTTCCTTTCTTCCTCTAGGAAGGAGCTTCCAAGTCACTGAGAGTGACATTGCTTCATGACTGAGGGCCCCAGTTTTCTCTCCTATTCCTGGATAGAAGCAGTGATTGGCCCAGAGTCCTATCACTGCCCCACATGGCCTGCTCAGACCTCCCTTCTAATTTTAGGACATAGTAAGGTTCAGGATACTGGGTTGCAATGTTGGGAATACTGAATGTTCCAACTTCATTATAAGACTTTTGTCAAAGAATAGAGGACCCAGGATGAGTTCATTTGGTTGTTGAGCTTTCTTGCTTTAGTGGATCTGACAGGAAACAGACTGTGTTGTGCTTTTGGTTCACTGAAGAAGCAAGAATATCTTCACTATTTAATCCATATCACATTATTTCCTGGTTAACAAAAAAAAGCCAACCAATCAACCAACCAACCAAACCAACATGCAAGCAAAAACCAAAAAATAAATCAGGTGAATAATCCTATCTCTTCAAAAACATTATATTTAAAAGGTGGTAAAGGTGGGGTTGGATATCCTCTATCATAAAATCTTCTCAGACTCTGGAGGTGGTTCTGTGGGTAAAGCACTTGCTCTGCAAATGTGAGGACTTGAATTCAAATCCCAACACCCACATTTTTGCTGAGTTGTGGCCTGCCTATATTCATAGCACTTGACTGTCCATGGGGAATGACCATTAACTAGACTGGCTGAGTGGACTGGCTCCAGTTTTAAACAGATGATCTTCCTCAAGAGTGGAGAGTGATAAAAAAAAAGACACTGAGCTCTGTCCTCCAAAAGCAGAGTGGAGATGTCTGTACACACTTTATCAGACACATACCAACACACGTGCTAACATAATAAAAAGAGAAATGTTCTAGTGCTACTAAGAAATTGTCTTTGCAAAAACAGTTAATGAGTTTCACAAGGTCAAGTGGGAGGCAGACACCATGAGAGATGCCTCTGAAACCACATAGATGTGACTTCTTACTGTCCTGCTTTCTCGGAGTCAAGGCCCTCCACATTGCTGCTCCCCATTCATTGCAATTAAATCACCAGCTTCTTGGTTCCGAGTCTCGTTGCACCATATTACTTGAAGTTTTATCCTTTTCTGCTGCCTTTTTGGTTTCCTTCAATTTGCCCTTCATACAATTATTTTAATCCAGCATTCTTGGAGAGGATATATTGACTCTTTTTTATGGCCCTGCTGCTGAGTCTTTAATTGACCTCTTTCTTGGCTGTCTTCTGCCTATTAGAAGTAAAATCTATGTCTCAGGAGATTGCATTCCTTCGTTCCTTAGGTCCCTCCTTAGCTAGCTATGTGATGGAAGCATTGTAGTTTGAAGATCACGACACCTACCTGATAGATTCCATGTCACTATTCAACAAATCCATCAGATATGATTATGATCTTTATGTTTGTTGCTTCATTGTTTCCTAGTTTTGCAAAGATTAAGTTAGGATGGATACCCAGACAATGTGACAGCACTGGCTCACACAGTTTGACTTTGCAGCCTTTTGGGTTCAAGAAACACAAATAAGGAAGAGGAGTCATGGGATTTGCCTGGCCATTGGATAAAATATAGAGACCAACAAATATTGAAGAGCATAACTCAAAGGAAACACCCTCATTTATAACCAGATCCAAGTATAGGAAGGGACAGACCTTTCTTCCTTTCTTGATTATTTTTTCTTCAACATCATTCTCTCTACAGTTTCTGCACTACAGACGTGTTTCATATTGATGACTGACTTATGGAACATTTCTGTTTGCCACAGACCAGTAAACAGAATGGAGGAAAGGTAAGATGTTTTCTGAGACCTTTTTCCTAAAAGTATTATTAATTTTTCTTAGTCTCTGACCTCATAACTGTATTTGTCATAGAATTCAGAACTATCAGCTCAGAGATGACACCACTCCTAATAGGCTGGGCTCTTCTGCTATGTCACTAAGAAAATGCCCTATAGGTTTGTGGACAGCCATATCTAATGTAGGAATTTTCTCAGTAGAGCCTCCCTCCTCCCTGCTGATACTATCTTGTGTCAAGTTGACATGAAATTAGCTAGTACACTTACTATAACAGTTCTATCTCACTTTCTGAGGAATCAACATACTGATTTCTGTAGTGGTAGCTTCAGTTTGCACTCTCACCAACATCTGTAACTGAGTCTTCCTCCTTCCCCATATCTTCATGAGCATTTCCTGCCTTTGGATTCTTAATGATAGTCATTCTGATTGAGATAATATGGAATCTCAAGGACATTCACTTCACGCTTTTAATTGTTCTTTGAATCCCATGTCTTGAGCTTCATCTAAATTGTACTTCCTTTGGTTACATATTATAGGATTCATGGACTTTAGCAGAGATATATTGCTTTTCTTTTTCATATTGTTTGCAATTTTACAATGGGACCTGGGCATCTGGATTTTAGTTTTTGCTTATATATTTTGGTAAGTTTTTGGTCACCATTTTGAAGTGCCCATGTTGGTTGTGGACTACATACTTTTGAGGGAATGCCAAAGAACAATATTTGGGAGGGAGTTTCTTATCAGGAGCCTGTGCGTATCTGCAGAGAAGGCCAAAGTGGGTTATCAAACTGGATAGCTAGGATAGCCCCAAGAGGGTGTAAACAAGGAGAGTGGTTTCAATCAGGATGGGTGTGATACTTGAAAAACAGTTACATATTCTCTCAGGATGTGGAACATTATCTTTCTGTGCTCTTCCAGCTCTCAGATGTTTACACAGAACTCTGTTATTTGGGGATAGGTTTTACTTTGTGGGTAAACTGACACATATGCCTGTATCCTTTAGCATCAGCTCTGTTATGTGACATCTACTCCTGACACTCACCACTGCATCATGTTATATAGGCTCTTTTTCATGTGCATTTGGTAGTCACTATTGTTGGATTGCCCCTGTATTTTTGCAAATTAAAGGATATCCTTAATTCTGTAAGGTCATGGAATTAATCTTCTGTTTTTTGTTTTTTTTTTATCTCAGATCAATCATTTGCAGAAAGGATACTCAGGGTTGGTCTCTAAATCAAGCCCCAGAGGTCTCGAAATTGGAGGTCTTTTTCTATCCCCCCTTTCATTTCTTTCTTCCTCCCTCTCTCCCTCCTTTCCTTCCTTTCTCCCTCTCTCTTTCTCTCCCTCCATCTCTCCTTTCTTTCTTTCCTTCCATTCTTTCATGGTTATTGTTTCCTTTATTTACCTTCAGCCCAGGCATTTCTGGGCCGCACTGTGTAATTTAGATTGTTTGCGAATTCATGGAACTCTTCCTAGCCCATTCTCTACTGTCTGGTATTCCACAGGGAAGCTACCATGCCTTGTAGATGGTTTCTATAACACTCTGTCTCCCCTGTAGATATTTCTGTGTCACAATCCCTCTATCAAGCCAGATGGCTCTTCTTTCCTTGTTCTGCAAAATTTCTTGTTTATACTTTAACAGGTTTAGAAGTTCAGTTAACCTCAAATCAATATCTAAATTCTGGACTGAAACTCTTCAAGACTATGAGCATCAACATTTATTTGTACTTTTATGGATTTGGGTATGAGAAAGCCCATCATTTGTCATCTTGAAGCATAAGTCATTCTTTCAAACACACTAGAATTTTCGACTGACAGAAAGTTCAGCAATAAAATTTTCTTCCTTTTCTATGCGTTTTGTGTTACTAACTTGCTCTAAATTATTTATGTAAAAGATTTGCTCTCAATCTGTAGCTACTCTTGCGTCTATCATTAATTTATTCTTTTGTTCAGTGAAAAGTCTCAATTTCTTAATATGTCTCAGTAGAGAGATAGATAATTGTGATATAACAACAAACTAGAAATGTTCTTGATATTTTCAAAGATTTTTTTTTATGATTTCTAGTTTTACATCTGAAATTGAGACTTATTAGTCTTAGTCTATTGGTCTGCTTCCTTTCATATATATTTTAGTAAGATTTGTCATTTCTTCATGTCTTTCTTTCATGATTTTCATATTTTCAGATTTGACAGACTCTCCCTGCCAGTACTGAGAGCAGCTGATTGTCATGTTTCTGGCTTCCAAGTTTCTGTACCAGAGAAGGAGCAATTTTAGCACAGAAAAAAAAATTGGGTTCACCATTTTGTTTCTTTCTCACATGGTCAGAGACACTGAGTATCTCTATGGGACCACCAACTGCACCTTTATCAGTACAGTCCATGGGTTGTAGACAGCCCAAAAATACAAACTGGATTTAAATTAAAGCTCTAGAAATACTGAATTTGATAAATTATACTTAATCTCTATAATCCTGTTTCATTTCCTCATGAATCAGCTCACTCATTACCACAGAGCAGGGTAGTCCTGGGAAACAGAGAGTACACAGCATCTGCTCATGTCTTTTTATTTTTTGTTCTAGGAACACTAGTGGAGATTTCCTAAACAAGGATTCCAACATCTTAACCTGGGAGACTACCATCACAGCACCAAATGGAAGCACCTACTCTGGTTCTTCACAATGGGAAATCGTAATCCAAGCCACAATTTATCTTTCCATCATCTTTGCCCTGGTTGGGATGGCAGGAAATGCCATAGTGTTGTGGATTCTGGGCTTCCGCATGCACAGGAATGCCTTCTCTGTCTACATCCTCAACCTGGCTATGGCTGACTTTCTCTTCCTGAGTTTTCAATTTGTACGTTGCCTTTTTTTGGTCATTTCCATCTACACCTCTTGGTTTTCTATTGCTGTGTCAAGATTTGCTTATGTTTCTGGCCTGAGCATTCTCAGCGCCATTAGTGTCGAGCGCTGCCTGTCTGTTTTGTGGCCCATCTGGTATCGCTGCCGACGCCCAAGGCACACATCAGCTGTCACATGTGCCTTGCTTTGGGCTCTGTCCCTGCTCTTGAGTCTCCTGCATAGCGAGGCATGTGGCTTTCTATTCAATAGTTTTTCACATTTATGGTGTCAGTCATTAGATTACCTCACAGCACTGTGGTTATTTGTTTTATTTGTGGTTCTCTGTGGGTCCAGCCTCACCCTGCTGGTAAGGATCATCTGTGGCTCACAGCGGATCCCTGTGACCAGACTGTTTGTTATTATTATACTCACTCTGCTTTTCTTCCTAATCTTTGGTCTCCCCTTGGGGATCTACTGGATTTTTTACATATGGTTTTTGTATTTGTATAATTTTAAAAGGCATTACCTTTATGTGACAATATTCCTATCCTGTGTTAACAGCTGTGCCAACCCCATCATTTACTTCTTTGTTGGCTCCATCAGGCATGACAGGTTTCAGCAGAAGACTCTGAAATTGCTTCTTCAGAGAGCTCTGCAGGACACTCCTGAGGAGGAAAATGATGGAGAGAGTGGCTCTTCATGAGAGCCAGGAGAACTGTGAACAGTCTAGTGCAGCCTCTCAGAGATGCTCTGATCAGAAACAAGTAGTTTTGATAGAGAATTTTTTCTTATGTGTAGGCTTATTTCACAACCTTGTTCTGTTTGTCACCTAACCCCAGTCAGTTTTTAAAAAGAACAAACATTTCTGTGAAAGTTGAGTGGCACAAAACTTTTTCTGCAAACACTGACTGCAGCATTTCTGAAACTGTCTTACACAGGACCTCATCATATCCACTTGATGGGGCTCCTTGTGAGTACTCTGGGGGCAAAAACTGCTCCTCTCTTGAGAAATCCCTCCTTTATCTGACTGCGTCAAAGGTGCAGAAAGTTGATGCATTTCTTTAGTCACTGAAACTATACTGCTTAAATAATTGTTATAATTTGCTAAACTTCCCTTTTTACAAACAACATTTTTCAGTTCTTCAAGAGTGATATAGATAGATATACCTTATAATGCCAGTTATTATTCATTTCTATAGGTTTTGAGTAATTTATTTGTCTTTCTTACACAAATTGCTTAGTAAACAAATATGCATTCTCAAGAGTCTATCTTGAATCTCTTTTTACCCAGTGGTTTCCTTCGTTTCAAATTCACTATATCTACCGTTTTCCACATTGGAAGAGTCTGGTCAGGTTTTGTAATGAGATCTGTCAACCTCCACACACGTCTGAATGTAGAGGGAGACTGTCGTCTGTGATTCTCTTCAGAAGGTCTTGCTTTGCATTCCTTGATTAAGTTGTTTCTCTTCCTCTCTTTTCTTTGCCATGATTTCCTCTTCTTCATTGTCTAATCCCTTAAGACAAATTTTCAGTGAAGTTCTTTATACCAGGTTCCACTGAAATTAACCATGCTTCAAATTTATACCATTACCAGTGCCCACAGCTTTTATTTCTTGAATTATGCTTATTTTAGTCACATTTTTCTATAAAATGATATGTAAATTTTAAAACTGAAGTATGTGATAATTTCAACTGAAGCACAATTAAGAGAGCAATATATGACCAAATCAAAGAGGAAAACCCAACAAATTTCCTTAAGCAAGTTTGGGTACAAGACTAAGAAGCAATGAAGTCCCAGAAGATCTCTTTACTCTCCTCCTTTCCATTTCCTCTTCAGTCAAAAACTCTGCCTGAGAGATCAGTACTGTCCAAATTTCTCTACTTAACTAAACTGTAGAGTGCAAACTGGAGGACTGTAGCATGAAGATGGGTATACATGTCATGAAATGGTTGGTACAGCTGAACAAACTGACGCATACATCATGTCATGAAGTGGTTGGTACAGCTGAACAAACTGCTGCATACATCATCTCGTGTAAATACTCACTTTTCTCTTGTGGCAAAAACTTCATATTTAGCAAAAGTTTTGAGAGCAATGTACTGTTATTTTGTAGAGATCTCATGCTGTTTATTACTGTGGTGGTTGGAATGGCAATGGTGAATTCTTGGTTCCTACATTGTGGAGAGGTTTGGAAATGATCAGGAGGTGAGACCTCACTGTGGAGATGTGTTAGAGGGGGTGCACTTTACGGTTTCAAAAATCTACTTTATTTCCATTTCTTCTCTCTCTTTCTTTAACTCTCTCTCTCTCTCTGTCTAAGCTTGACCCACTGGACAGGCTCTTACCCATTTTTGATCACCATTCCTCAATGGTTTGGGCCCCGGGAAGGTCCCAAGAAGTCATAAGTATGGGGAGACTCTTAAGAGAACTAGTTCTTTAAATGGTCTCCTGTATTTGTGTTAGCCAAGGATGTACCACCTTGGAGGTTTTGGTTCAGTGTGCTCCGTAACCATTAACACCTGGAGTGTTGCCTTGTTGACCCACTGTGTTAGAATCTTAGCTGTAGGAGACACTTAAGTAGAAATATTAGAGCCGCCACCACCCCTCCCATAAGATACCGTGCAACAATTTTAGAGGGGTCTAGCAGGGATTTTATGTGATTCTATACTTGGCCAAACAATGTGGTAGACAAATCCAATGGTTTGATTTGTGTTAAGTTGTATGGATTCTGGTTCAATGTTACAGTTAAGCAAGGGTAAACCAGGTAAAAGCTTGTTCAAAATTTGAGGGGACAAATAAAATTGCTGAAGAAGGAGCCTAACCTGTTCTAGCAAAGGCAATACACTGTCTTAGTAGTAATTAGGCAGATTACTCTGTGGTTGCCTATTTCTAGCTTTCCTGGCAGTCCTGTATACAATCTGATATGGGATATGTGTCAACTGTGTCCTCTGGACTGTAATAAGTCTTGATTAGTTTGAATGATTTTGGAGATGGAATCCTTTGGGGACTTTAATTTTGTAAAAGATAGTATTTTGTATGTTTCTGTGGCCAAACAGCTATCTGAGAAAATATTTACAGGTTCTGACTGGGTCATTTCCAACACATTAAGGAGCACCAATAACTCCCCTAGTTATACTGATCCAGGATTTGGCTGAGTATAGGCCCTTCCCTTATCATTCATTTAGATTATTATTAACCTAAAATTAGTTTTTTTGCATCTGTAAAGGCTATACTAGCCTGGAGAATAGTATTTTTGATGGTGCTGCATAACGTTATATTTTTTTCTTTTCTTTTCTTTTTTTATTGAAAAAAAATTTCTGCCTCCTCCCAGCCTCCCATTTCCCTCCCCCTCCTCCCACTCCTCTTCCCCTCCCTCTCCAGTCCAAAGAGCAGTCAGGGTTCCCTGCCCTGTGGAAAATCCAAAGTCCTCCCCCCTCCATCCTGGTCTAGGAAGGTGAACATCCAAACTGACTAGGCTCCCACAAAGCCAGAACATGAAGTAGGATCAAAACCTAGTGCCATTGTCCTTGGCTTCTCAGCAGCCCTCATTGTCTGCCATATTCAGAGAGTCCGGTTTTATCCCCTGCTTTTTCAGTCACAGTCCAGCTGGCCTTGTTGAGCTCCCAATAGATCAGCCCCACTGTCTCCGTGGGTGGGTGCACCCCTTGTGGTCCTGACTTCTTTGCTCATGTTCTCCCTCCTTCTCCTCCTCATTTGGACCTTGGGAGCTCAGTCTGGTGCTCCAGTATGGGTCTCTGTCTCTATCTCCATCCATCGCCAGATGAAGGTTCTATGGTGATATGCAAGATATTCATCAGTATGGCTATAGGATAGGGTCATTTCAGGTTCCCTATCTTCAGCTGCCCCAGGAACTAACTGGGGATATCGCCCTGGGCACCTAGGAGCCCCTCTAGGTCCATGTCTCTTGCCAACCCTAAGATGGCTCCCTTAATTAAGATATGTGCTTCCCTGCTCCCCTATCCAACCTTCCTTTATCCCAATCATCCCATTTCCCCAAGTTCCCCCCATCCTCCCCTTCTCACCTTGGGACACTGCCTGAGCCCATAGAACATGAGCAACAGAAACTCCTTCCTGCCCCCTTGGCACTGGAAGAGGACCTAAAGGTGTTCCACAGTGCTCTCAAGCTTGCTCATAAAGACACCAAAATCTCTATTAAGATGGGTTCTATTGCTGTTCAAGTAACCTCAGCAGAAAGAACAAAAGTATTGGGGCAATCCATTTTTTTTAAATGACATCTCTGTGCTTCTGAAATCAAAGATATCTGCCTAGTGGATGAGAAACAGTTCACCTTAACCATTGCAAAGCAAGGCACACCACTTACTTCATGTGCCAGGAGTATGAAGCCATTGTCCAGTCTATCATTCAGATCAGGACCCACTAGGAGCTTCTACAGACTCATGCCCAATGATAGCCCTCTTGCCATTTAGGGTATTAGGTCTTGGATGAGCCCTGGGAAATCCCTACATAAGTGGCCAGACTGTCTACATCCTCAGCAAGTACAGTCTTACAGGGTAAAATTATTATCCTTGCCAAATTTGGCATTTACCAAGGCACTGATAGAAGCCATAAGGGTATATATAAATGGACCTCTTCTGTGTTTCAATATCACAGGTGGCCAAGACTCACTTATGAATATTTTCATTTCTAACATGTAAGATATGTCATGGTGACACGGGTCAAAGATTCAGGAAATGGTTCTGCATCCTGATGGACAAGATTGCAGAAATAGCCTACACTGTCCTTGGTCATACAAAGTTTGAGGGCCTTGAAGGCTAAGGTTGGGCACTTGTTGGAAATAGGCATGTAGGCCTGTCATGGATTGTGAGACAGGGTCAGTATATTGACCATGGTCAGTAAGCTTGTCAAGTGTGACATTAAGTCCAAATTTTAAATTTTTAAGGACTTGGGTTTCCATTGTGTCCACATAGGCTGAACATTACTGGAGGAAAACTGAGGGGTCAAGAATGGCCTTTAACAGAGTACCAATCATAATGGGTTTGAAGCTGCATGGTCCATTTTCTAAGTGCTTGATCAAAATAAGGAGAATTAGGGTAGTATGGATTACCCTTGCACACTGTTTCACGACACCCAACCTGCTCCTGCTGCCACTGGGAAGGCACACAGCTGACAAGGACAACATCACTGGAGCCTCCAGATTCCATAGGGTTGGGATGCACCTGGAAGTGGTCAAATACATCTAAAATGGACTGGAACACAGATGTTTGACCTAGCACTGACCCTCATCATTCAATGACACACAGCTGTTTGGCCTTGCCCTGGAAGTTGAAAGTGAGGACATATTCCTACATCTTTTCTCACTGTGACATACCAGGAAGATACCACGGGAGTTAGTGCCTCCTTCCATCACTAACTGGGCAGCCTTGAGTCGAGAGAGCATGCCGTGGAACCAAGGATATCCTGGTAGGAGCTAACCCCCCTCAGCACCCTCTGACTTCCCCAGAACATAAATGGCCCTGTGTCTGCTTCTGGAATATCCAGGGAAGGAAGGGGTGTAGAGAAAGAATGAATTTCCCCTCCAGGGACCCCTACTGAATAGGAATGCAGAGGAAGCAGTTCTGTTGAGTCAAAGTGGGAGGCAGCAATGGAGGCAAACTCGAAGAGAAGGATGCTGATGGCTGGTCAGAAAGGTCCCCATAAGCCACCTGAGACAGGTGGCCGTTACTCTCACTGGGTCTCAGCAGCAGATA